CGTCATAATTGATTTAAGCTTAATTTTTCCCGTACTTTACGGCTATTATAGAATTATGTAGAAAATGAAACATTTTCATGGAATGCAATTTGAAATCATGTCAAAATTAACCCCGATACCTATATTCAAATTAATATCATTTTAAAGAAGAGGTCAAGAAGATATGAAAAACTGTTTTCTGAGAGACTGTAGGCAATATTGATACATTTTCTTTTTCTAAGAAGGAAAAAACTCCCATTTTTGTACCTGACTTCCTTCATTTTTCATTGAAAATAACAGTTTAAAGTATCTTTTTTCGTTGAATTTACCTAAAAATTATGCCCCGATACACCTTATTTCGCCAAGCTATATTTGTAAAGGATCATTGAAAGAACTTGTTTCTCAAATTTCAGAATTGTGAAGGCACCTTTCATTTAATAGATCTTGACCTTAAATTGATCTTTGTACTAGAAAACGTTTCCAAATTTTTTTGCATTTTAGAATTTAGATTAAATTTGTGTTCATCTGCATCTAGGATTTTTTAAATACTATCCTCAGACGTGTTTGCTAAAATTTTGTCATCTAGATCTTTAAGAACTCCTTCTTTCTCTTTCGTTATCTCCAATATTGTTTCTGTCCTCTGTATGTATTTTCCTTTGCACCATGATCTTCCAATCCTCTCAAAAGTCTAGTAACAAAACTTCGTTGTCCTCCTCAAACTTTCTTCATTATAGAAGCTTTTCTCCTTTTTTGTCAATTTTGACCTTAAGGAAAAGTGTTTAATGTCCATATTTCTCAACAGATTATTTTTGCCCCCCCCCCCCCATCGCCCTGACCTAGATGTGTGACCTACTTATCAAACATTTTAACTTCGGCCGAAACTTTTGCATCAGAAGAGGCAAGACTATCAATTTTTTTTTTTCACAAGTGCATCATTTTGACAAGTCCTTTCAGAATCAAAATGTAGTTGTGATATATAGCCTTATGACTTTGATCTTGAAGTTTGACACAGTTTCCAGAAACTTTATATACTTTTCCCCTTTCCATTTTCAAGACGTTTTAAAGAATAGAACTGTACTTAATATTGACTCCACTGATGTATGGAAAGCAAGTTGATGAAGGACTGATCAAGTAGTCATTCCTCTATAGAATTGCAGACGTTTAACAAGACAGGCTCTCTACGTCATGTAAACATAATGTCAGTTTACCCCAAATATTTAAAGGACCTTTCCAGTGCATATATGAGGTTTATGACATGCATGACAAGTACTTGAATATATTCTAATTTTTACTAAGAAAGTAAATAAATATTTATTGAAACTAAATGATAGTTCCAATGATACATGTAAATATAACAATTTAAGCATTTTTAATCATAGCATAAAACTTGGCGAGGAGACCGAAATACATTCATTAATGAGCACTACAGCTTTAACATGCACATGATATATATTATTCAATTTATTTTCTCCTTTTTCATATTTCCACTTAGTTATCTCATACAACGTGTCGAGTTTTTTTTAACAGTTCCGAAAGAACTTATTTTAACAAAGTCCATCGCCTCAAAACCTGAATATTAACGGAGTAAAATTTTCATGATATCGTTTGTGAAAGTTCTTATGTTACTAAGTGATTAATAATGATAGAAAAGTAGATTATAGAAAGAAATATTTGAAATAATAAAAAAATATATTCAATGAAATCTATCAATAAAACAACTTGGAAAATAGCATTGTTATAAAAACCCCTTTGATTTAAAAAAATCAAATTTGTTTTGAATTTTGCGAATTCTAAGGAATGCTCTGCCAAATTATGTAGCGGATTCTAGGGAATGTTCTACTTAACCGTTATCTTTACTCATCAAGAAAATATTCACTGTTGTGCTGGAGAAACTTCTCAGTACTTCACCTCAACATATTTGAGAAGCTGTGTTAATCAGAAGTGGATACTTAAAGAAACCTCAAGGAACTTTTAAAAAACTTGAAATCACAACATTTTACCAAAATCAATAACATCAAAACGTTCAACTTTTCAACACATTTTACAAGCATTCCCTAAGATAATTCAAGACCAGGCCCTTTGATATCATTGACAGCTGCTTCTTCAGTAAAAATGGAACTCGTAAATTCGCATGCCTTGTCATTGATCACCCAGAAACTTATTTTGTTGCAAAAACATTCTGATTCTAAACGCAAGTACTTCGAGCTTGATATTGAAATATGTTTGAGTTTCTTATTGACAATATCTATGTAGTTTTCGGACACCCCCTTACATGACCATGACAAGGAGCACAAGAACGGTCGACAGTTGTTCTTACTCGTCCATGGCAACTGGATCCATGTTGGCTCTGCTCACAATTTGTATTGTTAAAATGAATTTTTGAGCATGGCCACTGTTCGTTATCTTCATATTTCATTTGAAAAAACCCTAATCAAGATTTTTATTGCTTGGTAACTGGGTAATTACCAGGTAGACATATCTATAAATTCCAGAGTTATGGGCTTTGGCACGGCATAGGCTTGTATTTATATGGTAAACAAGAAAAAAGTCTTTTCTGTATAAATTGTTATTCAAGCATTGAATTCTTATTTTTGGATGTCGTCAGTCGTATAACAGCACCTGGCTGTGCCGACAAATTGAATGCCGAATTAGAATTAGAATTAGAATTCAATGATTATATTTATATTCTCTAAATTTCTCTCCTGATATATGTTAATTGCATTCATCTTCTTTATAGATTTAGCTCCTGTTTCAGACCTGGTGTGGTTAAAAGACATAAGAGCCGTTGTAACGTGGAGAGTAAAATAATGCAATAAAATTTGCGAGGGAAAATTTTAATTTTAAACGTACAATTGCTAAATTTTTACAGCAATGTAAAAGAGTAGTTGTTTTTGATTTGATTGAGCCGAAACAATATACATTTTTGTGTTCCTAGTGAATTGAAAGTGTACGTAGTTCCTATTGTGTATTATACCGCGCTGTAACAAGGTTTCGTGTGTTACATGTATAGGTTTAATGTTGTATATTTCCAAGGATTCCATAAAGAAAATTACACTAAATTTTAAATACAGTGTATTAAAATTTATAGAACACAACTTACTGCAGTCTGAATGAGTAACTTAATAATGTTGAAAAAACCCACTTGTCTGAGTTATGATTCCATCAGCATTCTCATATGCAAAAAAAAAAAAAAAAAAAAAAAAAAAAAAAAAAAAAAATTGGTACAATATAATTTGGGTAGTTATTAAACTGAACTAAGTTAAGGAAGGTCTGATTTCACATTTGTGATGCACCGTATGATAAATATCAATGCAGCGACATTAAAAATTTAACAAGTAACAAAAATCAATCTAACCTCATGATGATACGTATATAACAAGTTGCATACGTTTATTTTATCCATTATTTTTATTAGATCATACAAAATCTCACCATTTAACAGGTCTCTAAGTGAGCTCTAAAATTTAGACGCCAACTGGCTCCTAATCATAAAAATTTAGTCGTCAATGCAAATTCTTAGTCGCTAGGCAATTTTGCTTATGCGCTAACTTTAAAAGCTATTGGTCAATAAAGGGACCCATGGAGAAAGTGACGGAAGGGATGTCTAGTGACCCCATAGTAATATTAAAGATGTTTTAATCGATCACTTCTTTTTAAGAAACTTTGATGTAGGGTATGTTATTTAAAACGATAATATTATCTAGGATTGTTTACATGATGAGCATATTATGCTCGTCTGTGCATTTATGACCTAAACGAACTCTAATGAGTGAGAATTTTATTAGAAAACAACTGACCACATCACCCGTATTATTTACTTTATTTCAAAGTTGTCGATTTTCTGGACTCAAAAATTACCTAGAGAAGTTATAATTGTCTTATATAGTCAACTTGCTCTCTGTGCACTGACGCGACGCGTTCGGACGTGCGCTGTAACATCAAACTATGTGACCGAAAAAAAAAAAAGAAAAACCACGAGACATGCACATTGCGAAAAATGATTTTCTCCATTTTTATAACTTTTTCTTCAAAAAAAAATTTTTGAAAATATTTTAAGTTTCAGAATTTCACGATCAGAAAGTCAGTTTAAAATAGTCGCCAATTTGGCGACTTAAATAAATATTTTAGGCATCAATCAAAATTATTAATACTAAAAGCGTACACGTATATTCACAGTTAACCTAAAACGTGCAAGGACACAGACTAGACTGAGCTGAAATATGGAATATTAATTGCTGAAATCATATGTATTTTAAAAAGTGCTTGGAGCTGATTCTGACCTACATAATATAATTTTCAGTCATAACAGAAATATAGGCGAAGTAAGAATTTTAAGCTATTGCATGTCTAACAGGGGCAGGTTTGTGCCTCCGAACGGATTTGAACCCGGGTCCTCTGGCATTCCAGTCCAGTGCTCTACCGATTGAACTAAACGGTTAAACCGCAAGCTCAAGCTAGAAGGATGCCACATATCCTCACTAACACACATGCATTTTCGGTAAAATTCTGAAACAGCACAGATTTTCTAAAAGTTCCTTGGAGTTTTTAAGTATCCGCATCTGATTTACATCACTAGATATATCTATATTACCTTTCATACAATATTTACACTTATTTTGTTACAGAGATTCATAGAGGTAATACATATTTAGAAGGTAAATTAAGATAACTTTTCCCATTTCCTTCCTTACCATAGCTGAAAATACATTTGTCCAACATCTGATGTAATTAGTTAGATTGAACTTGATGGGAAACAGTAATGATAATAACAGAGTCGTTTTATGGTAAAGTTCTTTCCTGAAAAGGTCTATCAGATATAATTCTCAATGTAAATTTCCTTGTTTGTGTATCCCTTACAAAACAATTATGAACAGGGATTATTTGTGCTTGCGCAGAACTAACAACAAAAGGGAAAAACGTTTAAAAAAATGGTTTCATCACTTTTTTTATCTCCTTTTTTAGTCTCTTTTCAGATTTTTATCAAATTTGATTCTTTCCTGGATTTGATTTTTTTTCTCCTTTCAGAAGCTTGTCTTTCTACAACGTCTTTTAATAGGTCTCCTTATTGGTTGTCTGTCTTTCTGATCATCCCTTCCCTTTCCTCTCTGTTGTCTGTTTTTAAGTTCACCATCTATAATAATAAAAATAAAAACCTGCACAACTCATTTATTTTTTAATGATAAAATCAACAAACCAACAAACGTTTATTTATGCACTATTAAGAGTTCAGAAAAAGAAATAAACATGTCTTTTCTTTCTTCAAGGGTCATCTTATCGAAGGAGGGATGCAAATGTAAAGTCAATAACTGAAATAATACTTCGCACTGTACTAATATTGTCTGGAAATGTTTAACTGTCTTATTTCTGTTACACTATCTATTACTGTTCTAAGAGTTATCTCTCTTTGATATTAATGTTAAACATGTTATGTTTGAGCATGTGTATGGCGCGTATGGCAGTTTTTTTTTAACATACAATGTCAGAAATATGTGCTTGATATGCCTCTGCTCTTCTCACCATGAAGACAGAAGAAAATTTAAACTACATGTTGAAATATAAATTTATAACACAGTGTCAGAGGTTGCGTAAATAAGAATCTTACAGACATTCTAACGATAAAATTTAGTCAAAATCTAGAAAAATTTCCATCAGCACGTGAAACTTATCTCCGATTGTTCCCTTGGGGGATATTTGCTTATGTGGATAAGAGACGAGGGTTGCAATGTGTACAATAATATTATATGAGCTCTGATGGCAGACGAAAAGAAGACAAAGTTACTAGTGTAGAAGTTTAAACTTGGAGAATGTACATTTTCCCGACAATTACAGTAGTAAGCAATTCTTTGATGTGGCAGTGGACTCCTTTTTCAAAGGATGGTGAGATATATAATGAATTTTGTTTTCCAAATCCAGATCATATGGAGCTTGTTCGATGAATTCTACTTCCTCTTGGTCTTTTATGATTTATCCGTCAGTAGCTAGCAGACGTGAGTCCTTTGACAAACATTTGATGACATGGGAACGATTCCCACTTCAAAATTATTGTGGAGATCCTCATGTTGCTCAAGCCAACTGAAGGTAATTTTGTAATATATTTGCCATTCTGGATATAAATTGACGAGTTTCAATAATTCTTGAGGTATTCTACTCAAAACTTTGTTTTTTGGTTGTTTTTTCCCCGAAGAATTTAGTTCAGTTCCTCGGCTTTGTAATTGAATAGAATATTTACCATACTTGTAGTTATGCTCTGAGCTGATCCAGTTATATGTGGGTCCTGAGAATTATTATCCTCTTCGAGATTCAACATTTGTGGTCCATTTCCTGTAATGATCCCATCCCGTACTATGCGCCAATGATTCTCGGCCTCTATTAGTAAACTGATTTTAGGTTATTCATTGTCTGAGATTGGATTTGACAATTTAAGTTCACGTAAATGTTTCTGATTTACGACAGATCTCTGAGAGCTCAGCTACGTTAAGGAAGGCCAGAGTTCACCCTTGTGGTGCACCATATGGGAAGTTTAATTATGACATCATTAAAAAATTCAACAAGCAATAAAAAAAAAATCAAATTAATCACATGATGATGCGTAAATAACAACTTGCATTCATTTATTTTATCAATTATTAACATGGCATGTAACATCACAACATTTGATACTAATACTACCGAGTAAAAAAAGCAAATCTTGTGTCATAAATGGCGTCACTATCCTTGACTAGAGGAATACAAGTGATCCGGAGGAGTGGATCCATTGGTTCAATAATTACAAAAATGCGAAAATAAGTATGAAACCATCGCTAATTTTTAAATCTAATAAATGAAACTAAATGGAAATAATTTCTTTAAACAATTATATAAATTATCAATTTATCTAGTTGCTATGGAGCAGCACAGCGACGGAGAATGTAAAGAATATCGCTAACACGATAAGCGTATTCCTAATTAACCTCAAAAGTGCAAGGGCATAGACAAGACTGTTTGAGCCAAAATATGGAATATCAATTGCTTATATCATGTATATTGTAAAAAGTGCTGGGAGCTGATTCGCGTCTGCATAACATTATCTTACTTCATAATGGAATTTAAGCGAAGTACTAATTTTTAGCTATAGTTCTCCAAAAACATGCATATGCCCTTGCAATAGCATGATTTTCTACTTTCAGCTTAGCAATTCAGTTTTTATAACAGTCACGTGACACATAACTGGTAAGTGCGATAAATGGACCGAATACGATGCAAACCTATCTATTATGGATATTTATATTAACTTTCCTACGTGCATACAGTTACTTTCTTACAAAGATTTTTAAAATATACATATTACAAAGGTACAATGTACTAAGATAGCATTTTCCATTTCCTTCCTTAACAAAGCTGAGAGATGTTCGAATTGGTGCTGCTAATTTTGGAATCATAGGAACCACTAAAGCTAGCTTTCTCCATCCTCTGTTTTTAGGTAATTCATCGCTGATGCCATATATCTCGTTTGTTGATATTGTTTTCCAAATCCAGAAACAT